TTGTATAAATCCAACCGGCCGGTGTATAAAGTATTATAAAAAGTTCTCGAATTTACTCAAATAAAAGTACAGTGAGTGAAACTACAACTACAGCGACATCAATGATGTGCCCGAGAATTCAGTCTAATTTGTTTCACACAAACACGGCACATTACGTTTCATAAAGGCATGGATTTGTGCTTGAAATACTATGGGATCTGTATAACATGACGTACTAAGACAACCACCAGAACTATTCTTTAAGTGCGAAGCTGGCAAGTGTCATAGCAAATTATACAAGAGAATAATTGATCCCAAGGAGAGACGCCATTTTGTAGAACCAACCATGAGACTCTGAGATGTTGGCGAATATAAATATGCACAACTATGTCAAGCTGGTAAAATTCAAGCACATTGCACGTAACTTATTATAAATTAGTTTATTATACAAATTATTAAAAGTGTGTTTTATTAAATACAATGCATCATGTATTAGTGCATAGTTTTTTTGATTGGCATCAACACTAAATTTCTTTTCTAATGATGGAAGACATTATTTTTTACTAAATCAAATTATTGTGTTAGAAATGCAAGTTATATAAAAAAAGTTCATAAAAAATCCCCTTGAACGAGGCTGAGTTCGGTAGTCTTATTAACATTGGAAGAAATGAGACATGAATGGGTAAAATTGCATAGTTAAACGGCGAGTCGCCGCAAAATCGTAGAATTCACAATAAAACTGCATCTGCTGAATACTGCAAGGCATGGTACTAAAAATTCTCGAGTTCTCGAGATTTTGGAAAGCCGTAAAACGGCAATGGCCTACAGTTAAGCACAGCCTTCTGAAACCATGGAATCATTTTATTGTAAACCAATGTACATTTGGTACGTTGTCGACTGAGGTTTGGATGTGTCTGCTTCGTTGCGGCCAAACACTACGTTAATGTTCGGGTAGCATAATTGTTTATGTTGATGGCCCGCTGTGTTGATGGAAATTTCTGAATGCGCTCGCGATCTTATAAAACATGTATTTGAAATTCACACGACAACGTCCAGTACTCACAACATTAGAGCCTCTTATATGGAGTAATGCATAAACATTTCAATTTCTTGTGAGAATTGATCAAATTTGAGTCTGTGTTTATAAATCTCATCTTGGCTGTAAATGTGTGAATTTACCTTAGACGTAAATGGCGGCTGAGATCTCCCCGAGCGCGAGTAAGACACGAGACTTGCCCCGCCCCCAATACTGTTCAATTCTCTCAATTGTCTACTCTTCCCCTGTGTAACCAAGGTATTTGAAAAAAACAGATGCGATGAAACGGAGAATAAAACACCTTTTGTTAGCAAAAATAAAAACATGTCTCACTCACACGACGGGATTTCAGCGGCCATTACGTCTAAAGTTTATTGCCATAACGTTGGTACATCTAATTACTGAGGTTCTGTGCAATACTAGCGGTCCACGTACGTAACATAATTGGCTCAATATTGTTCACTGTGAACACAGACAGCTTTTCAATATATGATGTGGAGATGGTGCGGCACTACGATCAAATGTAGCTTGAATTAAGATTTCTTTGTCTGATCATACGACGTATTCTGCTCACTAGAATTAGTTCGTGATACACCAATACTTGGCTGGTCGTCCTGTTAACGATTCACGTTACTAACCACATTGTACATGCAAGGAACAGTATGAAAAAGACAATTAACAAGAGTCTGTTGAGAACGTTGGCAACCATTTTCCAGTCACTCTCTCCATCCTGGAATACAAACATACAACACTGTGTCAAGTGTTATGCGATACATAATTCAGGAATGGGCACCTATTATATGTATTACGTAGACGACAAAGTGACACGTTTATTCGTCAGGTGGTACAAGAATACAATTTGGTCTCGTCTGATTCGAAAATTGGTCACTATTAAACTTCACTTTCACTGTCAGAATCGGCATTATCTTAAAGCGGAAGGGTCGTCACCTGCGCACGCGTGGCAATTGAGTCCCAAACGACGATAACAACACACGCTAAAAACGCAAAGGTTTATGGGTAGACGCTTGTTTGTGAACAATGACACGCTATGGACATCTGACGCATGCGCAGGTGACGAATCCCCCGCTTTAAATTGCATGGGATGGGTCGATCTTTTACGGGGGGGGTCAATTGAGGAAGGGTCTACGCAACCATTTGAGGGAGGGTAACATCTTCCATGAAAATAGTATTAAATAATGAAAATGCATTATATTGTTCATTGTCCAAGTTGATGTATACTATTATGAAGAATCTTTCCAAAATTCCATGACATCCATGGAAGCTAATCCACATCTGATCCAATGTCTAATTCAATTCATATTGCAATGCCTGAAATGTTATCGAAACGTATTCATGATGAGTTATAGTTACTCTGCCGACAAACAAATTAAAAAAAAACATTTTTAAAATTTTTTACATTTGTATACCAAACATTTCATGATTATACCCTTCTGGGCATGCGTTCCCTTGGCATAATATGGACATAATACATATTTCATAAAAAAAATGGTATAGCTGATCACTCTTAGGTCAATTAACAAGCAGCCTCTCGGCTGAGATAGCTCTGCTGTTAGCAATGCACATTTCAATTGAGTACTAAATATATCATTAGAAATGAACAATATGTATAGTATCAAAGCAATCGGACTAGCT